GTATACTTCTTACTCCAGGGCAGGAAGTCAATGTGATTTACTTTAAAATGCTGAGCATCGCAGCATGATAAATATGGTGAAAAATTAAGTTAGTTGCACAGTCGTATCCGACTCTCTGTGACTCCATGGACTGCACCTGTCCCGCTCCTCTGTCCATGGAATTCTTCAGGCAGGAGGACTGGATTGGTTGCCATTTTCTTCTCCAAAATATGGTGAAGTATGAAGCATTTAAATTGAAAGATTGTATGGTGTAGAAAAATATATCTAGGTAAAATATTAACCAACTGTTTATATCTCTTGTATTTTAGCAAAATGAAGTATTTATAAATTGTTTTAACTATAAAACCATGTATATGGAGAGTATCTTGTATTTTCAGAGTGTAAGAAAAAAATGAGAAGTAAAAATTCAAATTGGCACAGTTCATAATTTATTTTGAAGATTTAATTACCAAGTATATGTTTATCTAGTAATAAAAAATATCAGTAACTGTGACATAGTGAGAAAAACAGAAGTGGATCAAGTTGAAAACTCCCTTGAAATGACACAGTTACTCATTCATACTTTCTATTCACTTATATGACCACAGTATATTTGTCTGTAATAATTAATTCTCTCATGTTTCTAAAATCTTAACTTTTTAAAAATAATGTTTGATTATATGATTAATTTTTTAAAACCAAACTTCCAGAATTTATAAATACAAATGAATATTCTCTCCTTTAAAATTACATGTTAATTTTCAAACTGTCATTTCTCGAAACATTTTTTGAAATATTTTGTTTGGAATTGCTTTGTAGTTGTGCTGCATCTTTTAAAAACCTCTCTGAAATTAAGGACTTCTTTTTAGGCTGTATTCAGTCTGCAACCCCAAGCAATTAATCAGCCCTACCGCAGCAACTAGAAAACACTGGTTGAAAACAAAAACCATTCTTTTAAAGACATTGGAGAACTGGGAAATCATCAAGAACTATATTAACTAAAATTCCTAAGAGGAAAGAGCCCTTTCTAGATGAGCTGAGATCACCAGTAATTTTCATCCCCAGGGGTGATTCTGGAACACACTGATAATTAATCCTTGGCACAGGCATCGAGACTCCACTGGGGGGAGGAAACCGTTGGGCAAAGACGTGGACGTGTGCGAAGCATTGACGTTTAGCGGGGCTCCAAGTGTATGACTAGTGTCTCACATTCTCTCCAAATGCTTGGGGTGTTAGCTGAGTCTTGTTAGGGGGAGGATGCCCGGGAGGACTAGGAAGCGGATTGTTACGAGGCAGTGTCCTGCTAAAGCAGGTCTCAGCCTCAGTGTAAGGGAAGAGATGCATTCAGAGAACTCAGCAAACCAAATCAGATGTGAAAGTGAAAGTCATTCAGTCATGTCCAACCCTTCACAACCCCATGGACTACACAGTCCATGGAATTCTCCAGGCCAGAATACTGGAGTGGGTAGCCTTTCCTTCTCCAGGGTATCTTCCCAACCCAGGGATCGAACCCAGGTCTCCCACATTGCAGGCAGATTCTTCACCAACTGAGCTATTAGGGAATCTCATATGAATTTTACTTAAACTGCATCTGCAACCCATTTTCAGTTATTGGTTGAAGGAAATCAGACCCCAGTGGTGGAAAGGGCAAACTCTGTAAGGGAAACTCTAATCTCAAGTCTTTCCTGTTCTTGTATGTATAATGACTGGCATACGGTTAAAAGTTACAAGAAATACAAAGAAATAGGAAAATGACTGATAACCAACAGAGCAAATAGTTAATAGAAGCAAATCCCAAGATGATCCACATGTTGTAAGTAAGTAACAGTCAAGGATTTTAACATAATTATTTTAAATGTTTTGATAAAAATGATGGATTAAGTGGATAAAGAGTCAGAAAATCTCAACAGAGAATTGGAATCTATAATTAAGAAGACTCAAACTTAAACCTTGCTGGTAGGAGTATAAAATGGCACAAACACTTTGAAAAACCACTCAGCAATTTCTTTTAATCACTGTGACTCAGCGTTTGAACCTCCAGATATATATTCAAGAGAAGTGAGTACGTGTGTCCACCTGGAGATAAGTGCAAGAATGTACATAGTAACATTCTTCCTAATAGCCTCCAAACTGGCAACAACCCAAATGCCCATCAAAAGGATAAGGGATGTATCAGTGGAGATCTATTCATACAGTGGACAACTACACAGTATTAAATAACTGATACATACAACAGCATGGATGAGTGTCATAGAGATTTTGGTGAGCAAAAAACACGAGACACAAAAGACTGTATACTGTATGATTTCATTTATATGCAATTCACAAGCAGGCCAACTAACTGATAACAAAAATCAGAGTACTGATTACTTCTAGAGAATGAATATTGATTGGTAAGGGACAAAAGGGAACCTTCTGAGATACTGGGAATGTTTTGTGTCTTCCCTAGGTGGCAATTACATGGATACTTGGATTATATAAGAAATTTAAGATTGGTGTGCTTTTCATATGTATGTTCTATCTCAGTAAAACAGAAATGAGCTTAATTTTTATTATGGAATAGATACAAACTGTTCACAAGAAAGTAGTAATGTAGTCATGCTGGGTGGTGTCATCTTGAGACAAAGTAACTGGATCTATAAATTAACTGCATATTTTTGAGATTCATAACTCAGAGTTTACAAGAATAATTTAAGAGAACACATTGGAATAAGTAGCTTTTCAAGATAGATGCTTTGAAATTTTAATTTTCTAAACTTTATAAATTTCCGTAATTTTATTTACTTTATGGTTATTGCTTTTATCAATAGACTTCTAGCCATATGCACAGAAACTTAAAACTTACAAGTTATGTATATTCACTATTTTTAAAATTTAGGAAATACAAACAAGAAGAGATCAAACTCACCCATTTTAAAAAATTTTTTTAATGTTGGTAACCTTTGATAATGTGTATATTTTTCTCTGCATTTTATGCAAGCATGCATTCAATGGGATCATATTTTGCAGTATGCTTTTTAATTTAATGTAGCTATCATTTCATGTCATTAAGTATTTTATAGTATTTTCACAGATGTATAACATGCCGTTGTTTGGCTAATGCCATAAATTTATTTAATCCTTTATTGTTGAACATGCAGATTTACATCGCCTTTTCATTTCTGTTGTTGGTGTTATTTTAATTTTTCCTTACTTTTAGTATGTTTTTTAAAAACCAATAATGTGCCATTAATTTTCAAAAATTAAGTATATGTCCTGTGACATATATACTATGACATATAATTTTCAAAAATTAAGTATATGTCCTGTGACATATATACTATGACATATAATTTTCAAAAATTAAGTATATGTCCTATGACATATACAGGGATTTCTTTTAATTGTTGCTTTTGAATTCTTAAATGCTTGTACTTTTTCTGAAAACAGTATTTGTTTTGATAATATCTGTTGTTTTAAAATGAGGAAGCCAAAAACAAAAAATGCTTGTAATCCCAACTTCTATAGAATACTCACTGCTAACACCTTGATGATAGGCTGTAGAGAAGGATCATGTATAAAGAAAGACCTGATCAGAGCTGTGCTTTAAAAGTCTTATTAATCTGTTAGTTCTATGCAAGGTAGGACCATTTAGGAGATTATTTTAGTAGTTTTGGTGGGGTCAATAGTCAGGATGATGACATAAGAATAGAGAAGAGATGGCTAATAAGAGATATTAAGCCTAGAATGCATACCATTGATGGTTCCTTGAGAAAGGTAGCTGTTGAATTGTGAGCCTGTGAATTGTAAGAAATAGGATAAGATTAAAAGATCATTGAATTACAAGCAGCAGTGGATGGAAGGAGACCCAGGATCCTGAAAACTGCAGGTAGCTTTCAGTGGTAATTCTCAAACTTTGTGGAAGAGAATTGTGTCCTGATGTTTATAGTAATCTACATTCATTCAAGAAAGACATCCCTGTGCAAATTTATTTCCAATCCCACAGTTGTGATACACTGACACAATTTCTGACTATAAATAACAGTCACCTCCACGTTCCCACATCTACTTATCTAAGCCTTTTAACTTCCAACATGGTCTTTATTTGAAGGTCAGATCATTAAGGTCACAGGCTATTTCTTATTGTTAACATAGGAATTCTTTTCTTAATGCTTCTAATGTCACTATCAAGGTAAACCACTGACATAGTCTTTACTATATTTACTCTTTTTGACAGATTTTCTTTTCAATCTATTTATGGATCCTTTTTCACATAGAGGAACACTGCCCATAGCTATAGGATTGTAACTGTTCAAATACATTGTTTTGCATTTGGAATCCTACTTGGCCAGCAAAGATTTTGCTGTGAACTAGAATGGGATGCCTCAGAATATGTAAAATGTAAAAATATGTATAAATTATTGTTAAGGCATATACAGAAAAACTAGTAGAAAGTGAAAGTTTTTGACCTTCTCTGACAAAAATTTGTTAAGAGAAGGCTTTAGATGGGAAAGGAAGCAATGGACCAAAAGTCAGGAGACAGCATACAGTCACTTAACTGCTGAGTATAAATCAATGTAGTAGTAGAATGTATATAAATTTAGTATATAACTGCTTGGTATTTATTAGGGTGTTAAATGTGCTAATTTGCTGTCTTTCATGGCCATGTTGGTACAAGCTTAGTTTTTCTTCTTCAGCAAATCTTTTGAGTCTCAGTTGGTCTGTTTGAAAAATGAGAGTAATCCACCTTGTTATGTTATTTCAGAAGTTACACATATCTTAACTATTCCGCGTATACTGTATGGAGACTACTTATAATCACCATCATCACAAAGTATCACTGTTGTTGTTGGGCTGTAATTTATTATTTATAATTAGTAATAGGTAATATATGTAAAGTACTTTGCATTTTATATGTTTTCAGATAGATCTGAAATAACTTTTTTCCCCCAGCAGACCTAAATGCCAAGAAAGTTAAAATCATATCTTCAAAAAGTCATTTAGAATTTCGTCATATTGAGATACTGTGTTCTTTTTTACAGGAAGTACTTAAACAACTACAAGGAAGTATTGAAGATGAAGCTATGGCTTCTTCTGGACAGATTGATTTATTAGAGCGTCTTAAAGGTAAATTTTTAAAAAGTGTTTTAAAGTATCTTTTTTTAAGCTCCAGTTGTCAGCTTTAGGTGTATGTGTCCAAATACAGCTTCTCTTGATTAGAATGTTGGTGTTGGATTTTCTTAGCCTCATGCATTAGGATGTAATTTTTAAAGTACAAATACGTAAAAAGTCTATTTGCTTGTCATTTTTTCAGTTAAAACATTTAACTGCCTTTAAATAAACTATTTTAGACACTTTTCTTGACAATTTTCAGCTCTTTCTAAAACGCATTGCTCTTCTGCCAGTCATTAAATAGGCCTTTATTAAGCTTTATGCTATAGACTGGACCCATTGCTTCATTCGAAGGAGTCAGTGCCCTTCTTTGCTCCATTCAGAATAGAAGTGCTTTATCTTTGCACATATATACACACAACACTGATTTTAAGCCTTTTTTAATAGAATTTTAAAAGAATGTCTTTCTTGTTTTATCACTTAAAAATTCAAATGTCAAATCAGTAAGTTTTAATTGTAATTGAAGATGGGCAGAGAAATTACTTTTGGATCCCCAAATATATTATTACTTAGTAGGAATCTAAGAAAGCACATTCTGTCTAATTTTTCTTTAACATACTTTTTCCCCACCAGACTGACTCAAGCTATCTTGGAGGGAAAGTTTAGCTATTCTGGTCATAAATAATTATTCATTCACTCATATACATTTGTGGCTTTCTCTGATAGAAATCTATAGTTGCAGGCCTCTAAACCAAAAGGTGAACACTTTTTTTTTTAATGACCCAGTATTTGTGTATATTGCAAGATGATCACCACCACAAATGTACCCTTTTATAAGTGCTTTGGACTGGTGTTTTGTTTTGTTTTGTTTTTTTCAGGACGTTTCTGTTTTAGAACCAGTAGTCAGTGAGTTTTTCTGGGCATCAGCATATGGGATAAGGATTTCTTCTGTCCCTGTATAGACCTGCTGCTCAATAACTGCAATAATTTTGTACTCCTGCATACTTTATGTGATATATATATGTAATGTATTTCAATTATAAAATGGTTTAAAATTTGAGGGCTAACTGTGAACCTAAAGTTTCATTATTAAAAGATAATATAATACATTAGCAATATTTTAGATCACTTAAAGCAGTTGTTTTATAAAAACTTGTCTGTATTTTATTTAGAACTTAACTTAGATAGCAGTAATTTCTCTGGAGTGAAACTACGGTCCAAAATGTCCCTCCGTTCTTACGGAAGCCGAGAAGGATCTGTATCTAGTCGCTCAGGAGAGTGCAGTCCTGTTCCTATGGGTTCATTTCCACGAAGAGGGTTTGTAAATGGAAGCAGAGAAAATACCGGTTATTTAGAAGAACTTGAAAAAGAGAGGTAACATTTCTTCATTAAGTAGTAAACTTTTATGCTCCAATTTTTGCTAGATTTTGTCGTTTTGTGGCAATACAGAATAGGAGTTATGAAGCGTGTGTTGGGGGATCACAAGCAGCACTTAGAGAGCATTTTCCGTTCATTGTCTCAGAGTGATGAGTTACTGGGCGTCCTTACCTTACACCTGAAAACGTGAAGGAGGCAGCTTCTTGGGACTCCAGTGCTCAGATGCTCTGTACAGTGAATAATGTACGAATAGTATGCATAATCACAGTGGCTAAAATATGTAATGCGTTTTGATTGACTTTTTGGTTATCTTTTCAAATGAATTAAATGACTACCAGATTCAGTATAAGGTGACTGGTTTCCATTATTAAAGACCTATTTCAAGTGGTCACAAATGAAACAATTTATCAGTTTCGGTTTCTTAAAAAAATGTTGCCTGATAGAGAATCAGTTCTCCTTTCTAAGAGCTAGTGTGTTAATTCTTTTCTTCTTGAAGTTAAAATCATCACACTACAAGTATCAGAATATATAGTTACCAAGCACTTGGTCAAGTATTTTTGTACGTCCTATAAGATTATAAATTCCTTTTGCATGATTAATACCATATTATATTTATATTCCTAAAAGTTCTATTAGACTTTCAAGAAATACTCAAATGTATAAATGTTAATTTGCATAAATGTCCAAATGTATAAATTCTCTGGGACTTTGGTCAAGTCTTTAAATTTTTGTGTCATTTCCTTCTGTAAAATAGGAATATGGTTCTACCTTGTGGAGTTATGAACAATGGATATTAATATATGGAAAATACCCAGCATATCTCATTGAGAGGCAAAAGACCTTTTACTACTTTCTCTCTGGTTTTAGATGTGTACATCTCTAAAAATAACAATAATCATGGGCCAGAAATAGTGTTAAGCTTTCTTTAATCTGTTGAGTTTCAGTGAATCTCTGTTGCATATCTTGAACCAGGACTCTTTCTGAGAGTCTAGGAAACAGTGTCCTGAAAAATCAGAAGCTAACTGGAGTGTACATTCTTCCATCGCTTTGTCCCCTTTGAACTCTGTCAAGAGGCATGTGAGCATGCCAGTTTTCCTAAGAACTTACTTTGCTTTATGTGATAAAGGCCTAATTTTATTCACAAAGAGTGTGTGTGTATGTAGTTGTCAATACCCTGTGTCCTCCTGGCTCCCACCGTTGTTTGAAGGTAGATTTAGTTCTTGTTTATGGGACAAAATCTGTGTTTTGCTCTCGTACTTGAATGATAGTTTGACTAGGTCTAGGCTCAAACTCATTTTCCTTCTTTATAATCAGTGTCACTGATGAGAAATTGCATATCAGTCTAATTCACGTTCCTTTGCAGGAAGCTGTTTTTCTGAAGTTTTTAGACTACTTGATAGGTGTTTTCTTGATTCATCATACCGGGTACTACTCACTGTGCCCTTTTGATCTGTAAATTTATTTTCTTCAACTTTTGAAAATTCTGTTATTTCTTTGATGATCTTACCCCCTCTGTTTTTCTGTTCTTTCTTTCTAGACATCCCTTAAGTCAGAGAACTATCTCTGTATCTTTTTTTTCTTGTTCTCTGTATTACCTATAGATACAGTAAGTTTAAGTGAGGTAAGTGTTAGAAAACACTCAAGCCAGAACTCAAGCCCGGATGCATACCCTTTTTTTTTCTTAATTTATTTTTGTTTTTGACTATGTTGGGTATTCCTTGCTGCACAGGTGCTTTCTCTAGTTGCAGAGAAACTTGTTGCAGGGGTCTTATTCTGCCACACGGGCTGTAGGGAGCACAGGCTTCAGTGGTTGTGACGCGTGGGCTTAGTTACCCTCTGGGCATGTGGGATCTTCCAGGACCAGGGGTCAGACCCGAGTCCCTGCGCTGGCAGGATTCTTAACCGCTCTGCCGCCAGGGAAGCTCCATGACCTTTTTGAACCCCAGTTTTCCAGTTAAAAGATGTTGTGAGGATGAAATTAGATATTTTTTAAAAACTCCTTAGTACTCTTATGTCTGATACACCCAAATAGTTATTGTCACATTAGCCAGTAATACTTTTTAACAAAATGCCTGATACATGTGCCATGTTCTTCTAGATGATCCTGAGTTAGCTAGAGGACTAAGAAGACATGAAATTTATGTCAGATCAGTTTATTTATCTTCCTTGGTTCTTGTCTCATCGCAGCAAAAATTTGGAGCAATCGACCAAAAGGGAGCATCAGGCAAGTTACAGCTCAGTTCAGCTCCAGCAGACAGACCTTTGATTAGTAAGATGCTCCCAAAGGAGCCCTCCTCATCTCTCCTGTGGGTCCCTCTTGGCTCCCCTTTTACATGTCCAGTCTCCTCCTTTTGGATATGCCTGGTGCAGAGTAGGGCTTGTACCCGCCACCAGTCAATGAGAGGAATGCAAATGGTCATACACTCAAGGCCGATTGACAATTTCAAGTTATATAACAGCAGGCTGTGTTGCTTATGCCTTCCCATGTGTCTTCCCCTAATTCCATCTTATAATTAGATGTAGAATATTCATGAGCCCTTAATGGTCCCCTAACTGCCTAAAGTTACTTGGAGAAGCCCCTATGGTGGGTTTCTGTCCACTGTGTGCCCAGGGCCCATGTGTTGAAAAGTCTCTGTGGTTATTTTGTAGCATCTGTGAGCTCTCATGGGTGTGTCTGGGATGGAGTTCAGAGATCAGTTTGCATCCCTTTCAGCCAGACCTCCCCTTGCTTAAGTCTAACTTCCTAGCTAACATTTACATTTTAAAGAAGACTGTTGACAGTCACTAAATAAGCCTTCAATATGCTAAACAACAAAGACCCACCAGCTTCTGAGTCTGTGCCTTGTTTCAGTTTTGAGCCTTAAATACAGTGATTTGAGTTATAAGATCAGCTCCTATCAGTTAACCACTTGTTATCATGTTGGCTCTTGACTTTGGCTTCCCAAGAGTATTTTGCCAGAGTTCAGTCTTAAAACTTGATAACAACAACTTGGCCCTATTCTCCTTAACATTTTTCTCACTCCAATACCATCACTAAAATTAGCTTATTCATTTGAGCACTTTTAGCACCAGATCTTGATTAAATAGGCCAATTTATTGAAGATTAATCAGAAGAAATAGCATCTCCCTTTGTCCCTTGTTCCCTTGCCTTGGTCCTGGTGGGTCCTGCAGGTGCTCACCAGGGATCATTAAAAAATAGAATCAGATCTCATGTTTTTGCTAGTGGTAATACCCAGCCTGTGAAAGGGGTTCAGGATTTCTGCACTGTTTTCTCCTGCTCCTGTTGTCAAAAATGGAAGGGAGAGGGCAGCTTCTCATTGGTCAGCACCTCTGCCCCAGGTTGGCACATCGTAACCAGGAGCTGGCTTCTTCCCATGAATTCCCCCACTACTGAGGTTGCCACAGCAAAAAGTGAAGGCTTATTCTTTTTTTTTTTTTTTTTTTTTTTTTAGTTTTCTGAATGTTGAGCTTTTTTTTTTTTTTTTTTTTTTTTTATCACAACCAGTTTCTCAGTAAAGAATGGAAAGTTTAGCAAGAGTAGAACCTTCCACATACATGCATACTTATCATCAAGAAAATACAATCAAATAGAATTTTAAAGTATTAATAACAGTCAGAGTGGGGAATGACTCGGTAAGAGTGAAGCCCAGAAGCTGTAATAAAAAAATATCCTCATATTCAAGTGATTCACTGAGAAAATATATTTATAACTGACAGAGTACTATCATTCTTAATACAGAAGAGGTCCTATAAATAAGAAAAAGTCACAGAAAAGGAAATAAAAATGGGTTTTAAACTTGGAAAAATGCTTACCCTTACCTATACTAAAAGAAATCAAATTAAAACCATAGTGATAGGGAGTTCCCTTTTGGTCCGGTGGTTAGGACTCCGCACTTCTAATGCCATGAGCTGGGGTTCCATCCATGGTCTGGAAACTAAGATCCCACAAGCTGTGCAGTGTGGCTGAAAACAAGGAAGTCCATAATGATATACCATTTTTTAAACCCTAGAAATGTAAAAGAATCTAAAAAGTTTGATGAAGCATTTATATTGTCAAAGGTGGCAGAAGCATAAATTGGTACAATATCTAGTAAGGACAGTAAGTTAAAAATTTACATATCCTAGGAATTTGTCATCTACACATGCTTGCATATTTGTACAATGAAGTTATATATAAGTATATTCAATGAAGCACTGTTTATAATAGCAAAAGATTAGAAAGACCCTAAATGCCCTCTAACATAGAACCAGTTATTATTTATTCTTTTATGGATTCATAAATATCTTTGCAGCTAGCAAAAAACCACATGGGACCTTTTTATATTCTGATACAAGAATGATCTCCAAGATAGACTTTTAAGTGGTAAAAAGTTATAAGACAACACAGATAATAATATGCTATTATTTATGTTTTAAAATGTACATGTACATATGCACACATATATTCTTTCATTTTTATAGAATGTCTCTGGAAATAAATATAAGAGAATAATAGCGGTCGCTTAGGGAAGGAGTCACAAAAAAGGACATAGATCATATACTTCTTGTACCTACTGATTTTTTCCTCTTAACCCTTTATTTTGCATTTATGTTTATATTGATCAGATACGGAGTATTGATATAGAATATTGATATAGGTTGTTGTTGAGGACATCATCGATTGGGTTGTCAGAAATTATGTAACAAATTCATCTTCAGATTCCAAGCCTAAGAAAATGTTTCTCTCCCTCAGAACAACCTCCTGTTATCACACAGTGATAATATATTTCTTATTTTGACTATTAAGAAGCTGAAAGCTATGTGCAATAGTTCCCTGTACTCTAAATTTATTTCTTGCGTAATTACTGCTTTTCTTTGCTCCTTTATTATACTTTTTATTCTTATATCTGAGTTTTATTAAATCTGTACTTTTTACTATATACCAACATCAAATTCTTAGACTCTAAATGTGAAGAAAGTGTTTGGTTGAAATGTAAATATTCTAGTAAGAATGGTTGCCATCTTATTTAGCTGAAAAAGTTTATAACTTAATATTCAAATTTTAATGACTGTAATCTAAGTCCCACCTTCAGAAATCTAAAATTAGTAAAATTCTCACTTATTTATTATATTACTTTAAATAGAAAACATTACAGTTACCGCTTATGAGAGTTGCTGTTATGTGCTCCGTATTAGCATTGTGTAAACTTAACTTTTTTTGAAAAACAGATCATTGCTTCTTGCTGACCTTGACAAAGAAGAAAAGGAAAAAGACTGGTATTATGCTCAACTTCAGAATCTCACTAAAAGAATAGATAGCCTTCCTTTAACTGAAAATGTAAGTAACTTGACAAAATAACTTATTTTTATATCTGAAAGTGTATCCAAGTTTATAACTATATAGTTATTTGTAAACTGTAATATGTTTTATCCAACTTCAACATAAATATATAGTCAATGAATTTTGTATATAGAGATGATAAAACTAAAAGATTCAGGATTCAGCTAGGTGTTTTATTATTTGACGTGTTGAATTACCAAAGATACTCTGTAGAAATGTTTATTACCATCTGTCTGTTTTTTGAACTATATTACAGGACTTGTGCCAGATGGTTTTTGCAGTGAAAGTATCTTTGAGATAACCTTAGTCCTATTCTAGTTATTGTAAATGACAGTAGCTGTTGGCACAGATGTTAGAGCTTTTTGCAAGCACTAAAAATTGTTTGTTTTGCTAATATAACTATGTAAAAAATAACTTAATTCTGTCAGCCTCTCCCTCCCCACCCAAGCTCTCCAAGTCAACTGTTCTATTCATGGGGTGACATGTATAAGAACATTTCTGAAATACATTAATAATTTTAAATAAGACTTTATTTTAACTGTTACAAATAAATTTTAAGACATTATTTTAGAAATAGGCCAATTAAAATTAAATCTTCCACTCTTAGCTTTGATTTTTCATTTTCTAATAAAGTTTTGAGAGGACATTATAAAAGAAAAAGTAACAACGAAGGAAAAACCTTTTCCAGAACACACAGTTAATCACATTCCTGCTTGGGTGGGCATTGTCTGGCGGGAGCTAGAACTAGAAACTTCAGTGCTCAGCCTACTGAGCATAAACTTATCCAGGTTTGTGAGAGGGAAAGAATCTCCCTTCCTGACAATGTCGTTAACATCCTTTTGGGAGCTAAGGAGACACCACAAATGAAAGAACAGTTCATTGAAAGTGTTGACGTATGAGGATTAGGAACTCGGGAGGGTTTGGAGGGATCGTTGCTCTTAATATTAAAGCACTGTTTTGCTTAACATTCACTTTGGTAATTAAAATGTACAGTATTTAGAGTCTAGCTGTCTGCATGCAGTTGTGTGTGAAACGGTTCAAGAGTAATTGGTTAATACCTGAAACAAAAATCAGTTGTTAGCTCATTCCCGTATTAATTTACCATATAGTCAGTCACATTTATTTAAGAGGATATGTAAGACATTGTAGACCATTAGGTAACATTAGCAAATGTAAATTGCTTATATTTCATAAATATTTTTAAATTCACAAAATTTTTATTTTATATTGGGAAGGCAGGTTAAGAATGCTTTCATATGGAAATACTTATCAGGTTACTAGGCATTGCTTAAAACATCAGATATAAACCACGTATTGTAATATAATGTGTCATCTTCAACCTTTTGTGCAAGGGATTTTTGGAAGTGGAGGACAAATAAGTGTAGTTATAACATGACTCACAGCATGGAGACTATTTCAACTGTGTTGCAACACATAACGTGGATATGCCTATAGGAACGCATTCTGCATATGTCGTCTGTATATTGCAAGGGAAAAGGGTGAAAGCTCCTCTAACTTACCTGACAACACAGTTTGGGATTCTTAGGCCTACAGAATGCTATCCTGAGTCAGACACATACACATGCAGCCTTTGTCTGTGTGTGTGTCTGTGTGTGTGTGTGTGTGTGTGTGTGTGTATGTAGGATCTTAGTTTCTGATCAGGGATCAGACCTTCACCCTTGACAGTGAGTGCGTGGACTCCTAACCCCTGGACCTCCAGGGGATTGTCCACATGCAGCTTTTTATCGGACTTACAGAGCGTGAAAAATCTACAGCACTTCCTTACTCCCTTCATGGTCTGTTATAACTGTCACCGATTATTTTGTCCAGCTGTCTTTTAGCCTTGGAGCATGTCTTTGTAAGTTTCTTTGCCTTCTCCTTTTCTTCATTTTTTATACCTAGCAGTTACCACAGCATCTGGAATTGTAGTTAGAGGGCTAGTAAAGTTTTGAATGTACTAACACCCACTCCATGAAGAAGTACTTTTTTTGGTTTGTTTCAACTTTGGTTCATATTTATATTTTTACCAAAAAGTTTGTGTTATCTTGCAATTTATTATTATATTATATAAAAGCTTTTCTTTATTCTATCTTCTTTATTTTACATGTGGGAAAGTTCTCTCCATTTAGTCTACATGTACATAAGAATCCTGAAGTGAGGTATAAACTTAAGGATGATGGACCTAATTCTTGATTTTTCTATTTTGTACACATTAATATTCTAATTTTTAACAATTCAAAGTAGTGCTTCTTCAGGGCAAAAGAATTGTAAGGTAACTGAAAATAGGCTTACCTTAACTGGATAAATATATATATTTTAAAGAGCTAGTACAATTTAATTAAAACTGTGACTGTGGGGCAATAAAAGTGTTTCAACTCTTCACTTCACATCAGAAAGCCAGGCTGAGCCTAGCACTGATGATCAAGTTTTAGGACTTCTTAGAGTAAAAAATAATTTTCTTATGATAACTTACATATTTGTTGATTCATTTTCTTTATGGATACTTATATGCTTTTTTATTTTTACTGATAAACACAAGATATTAACATTTCCATTTTATTTGTGGTTTTAGTTTTCCTTACAAACAGATATGACCAGAAGGCAGTTGGAATACGAGGCAAGGCAAATCAGAGTTGCAATGGAAGAACAACTAGGTACTTGCCAGGATATGGAAAAACGAGCACAGGTAACATATTTATTATTAAACTATGAAACAGCAGTAGCTAGATTTCTATGAAGAATCTAATGCATTACAGCTCTGTTAACTTTGGTTAAGTTTTATTCTTAAAGATATTTTAAAGTCTATCTTTACTTTGGCACTAGTTCAAAATAAGAATAGTTTACTATGGCTGCTGGGAAGCATAACCAGTATTCACATAATTCTGCCTTCATATTTCAATTCTCTGATACTGTTCTGCTATGCCTTGGAATTATAAGAGGGAAGAAGAATTCAATTCTGGTCATCATATTAGTTGCTAGCTAACTTCAGTTATCCTTTGAGATTTTTACTTCTGTGTTTGTGTAATGAAAAAAGGAAAGTCTCATTCAAGGAGAGAAACATATAAAAAGAACCTTGGGAAGAGAAACAAATTGAATGGAGAACATTCCCATGTTTCTACCCTCAACTGTGTAAAGAAAGAATATTGGCATAAGAAAGGATTTCTTAAGACATTAGACTAATTATAAAGACTGGTAAAATTCTACTATTTTAAAATTAAGAATTTATCTTTATTAGGTACTTTAAAGAAAATGAAAAGGGGAAAAAGCATGTTTGGGAATTCCCTGTCTGTCCATTGGTTTGGACTCAGTGCTGTTACTGCCAGGCCCTGAGTTCAGTCTGTGGTCAGAGAACTAAGATCCCACAAGCCAAATGGCACGGCCAAAAGAAGAAAAAAAAAAGGTGAAAAGATAAGTTACATATTGGGAGAAGGTATTTATCACCATATAAGTGGTATGGAATCAAGAATATATAATGAATTTCCAAAGATACTTTAAATTATATGATACAATTAATACAGATTTAGTATTTGTAACAGTTGGTGTTTTCATGAAATTATTTTAAAATACCAGGCAGATTTTCTTTGTTTGTTGATAGAAAAACTATGAGAAATTTTACTCTGGTTTATATGAATTTACATTTTTAGAATGTGAATTTATGGAATACTATGTACATGTTTTTCTATATCTGTTAATGTGTTTGTTTTTAGAGGTTCTTAAGAAATGACATGTTGATATGAAAATTTCTGTATTAATGTATAAATATAAATAAGTATATTCCAGACAGCTTACTGTAGAACAGATTAACTTGAGTTCTTTCTTGGCCATTTTGTCCAGATATGTGCAGATGTATTCATTTTAATTTTGTTCTGGAATATAGTGTTCTTTTGCTAGTTAATATTCTAAGGAATTTTTAGTCCATATTTTATAAATACAGCAAACATTCATTTATTCTGGAAATATATTAAGGTTAGGGCTAAAGAAATATTGTACACAAAGCAAAAGTGGAAGTATTTGTAGTACATATGAGGAGTTACTATCCCTAATATACAGGGAGCACCTACAAATCAATTGAAAACAAGACAACCAAAGAGGAAAATAATCAGAAGGTATTAGTAGTCCCATCACAAAAGTACAAGTGGTTAATAAATCATTGTTAAAATGTACTTAAACGTCACTAGTCATCAGGGAAAAGTAACATACAATAATGTTGTTTTTTGTTAGTGGTGGTGGTTTCTTGTTTGGTTGGTTAATTTTCTGCCTATCAGACTGGCAAAAGCTTTAAAGTTCAGTGTCATGTAATACTGGTGAGATTTTGAGAGATTGTAATACGAAGCATCGTCGTCTACCTGTTGTGAGAATAAACTGGTACAATCCTGAAGGACTCTGTAGCACTACCTGTCAAAGTTAAAATGTTTGTACCCTCTGACATAGTAATTCTGTAAGACTCTCAGAATATGTCCTCCAGGAATGTCGAGTTAAAGCAGCAAGAATGTAAGTATAGATTTTATGCTATCCGTCACAACACTGTAAGACAGAGAGAGAGACGATTTCAGTGTCCACCATTTGGGTAGTTATGAAATTATTAAATTAGTAGTATACAACTGTTACAAACACTAATAATTAGGTAATGGGAATAATGAAAATAATTGTCCATAGTAATTGTCTCCCTCATAACTCTGCTTGAGTGACTCAACATGTAAGACTAGAATGGTCAGCTAACGAACATGAAAGTGAATTCCAAGAAGGCCTGAGGCCATGAAAAAAAATGTGGTACCTCGTTTGCAAGGAAAAGATGGATAAAAATTCCAAGTAAAATAAAAATAGAGTAAAAGTTTTTTTAAAAACAATTATGTACCGGAAACAGAAGCCAACATCATATTAGATTAAGAAAATAGAGAAATAATTAGATTATTCCCATTGCAGTCATTAACATGGTTTGCCGCTTGTTCTCATCACTATTACTTAACTTTGTTTGGAGGTTCCACTAATTCAGGTAGAAAGAAAACAAATTGTTTAACTACTGCACTATTTTCCAACTAGAAGGGAAGAGAGCAAATAATTGTCATTTGTAAATTACATTGTTGTCTACCTAGAAAAACCATGGTGAAGAGCCAGAAAGCATTTCAGCTAATCAGAGGACTCAGTGGGGTGGCTGGAGGTAAGATGCAGTAGGGTTTCTCTGTTAGCAATGGCTGCCCTTTGGAAATGGAGATGGGGTAGAGTGATGTCTTCATAATGACAGGAAACTTTAAAATACCAAATACAGACCACATGAAGAAAAATATAAAATTGCTGAAGGACACACTGTGGGGCCCTAAAAGTAGACAAGTCTGTGTGGCTGCCTGCATTGTATTTGTGTTACCTGGTTGCAGCGACGCCAGGCATATCGCAGCAGAGGGCCAGCTAAGATTGTAAGGTGCTGCAGGGTGTGGAGCAGTGAAGGGAGTAGTCAGACCACTCTTGCCGTCTGTACATCCTGTGAGCGCCTGCTTCCCCTGCGCCCTGCATGCAAGCCTGACCTCCCCACACACTTGCCCCTGGCCCCAGCTATTGTCTGTGCTGATCACTGGGGCGGTGAGGGCATTCCCCGTCTGCTGCTTTCCCTGGTAGCTGCTGAGCCAGCCTGACATCACTGTGCAACTGGCACTCTCCCCTTCCACCCAAGAGGGAAGCCTGCTGCGTGTCCTGCCTGCCATCCGTCACACATGGGTAGGGTGTCACTCCAGGACTTTGTTTCAGGTGTGTAGATCCCCCTTCCATTAAACCACTGATGTCTCTGTTGCTAAAAATAAATAAGATCCCTGGGTGAGAAGATTTTAATATCCTAATAATGTCTTTCTTTAAAAAGTTCATATAGAAATATAATATGATTCCAGTCATAATCTTAATTTTTTTAGAGCCCGGAAAAATGATTTTTAAGTTTGTAAAGTAAGAATTTCCAAAAGTATTTAAGAAAATTATAATGAGTGAGGATTTACCTTACCATTTGGTAAAATTTACTGTAAAGGTGTTGCAGTAATCACAGTATGATACTAATAGCACAGGAATAGACGTCGGCAAATAGAACAGAATAGAGACTAGAAAAAGATGTAAGAAAATCTGGAATCTTTTAATGATAGAAGTTGCAAGTTTGGGGCGGGAGGAAATGGTAAATAACTCAGTGAGAACATAGATGATAACTGGGAACCTTTCTGGTGGTGGTTGCTTTTAGTCACTAAGTCATGTCCGATTCTTTCGTGACCCTGTGAACTGTAGGCCGTCAGGCTTCTCTGTCCATGGGATTTCTCAGGCAAGAATACTGGAGTGGGTCGCCATTTCCTTCTCCAGGGGATCTTCCTGACCCAGGGATTGAACCCACATCTCCTGCATTGGCAGGCAGATTCTTTACCACTGAGCCACCAGGGAAGCCCTATCTAGTAGTAGAGAAATTAAATTAGATCCCTACCTCACATCTTGTACATGAACAGTTACAGGTGAGTTAAATATATAAATGTAAAAAATAAAATTAATAGAATAAAATATAGGACAAGAGAGATCTTAATTAAGAATGGAAACTCAAAAGCAATAGGAGGGGACAGGATTTATTTTGTAAAATTTTAAAGCATTCATCCTGCAGGAAAAAAAAATACGGGAAACTATTTGTGACACACCAAGGGGGAAAGGTTTAATGCCCCTGTGCTGTAAGAATTCTGCAAACTAAGAAGAAAAAGACCGCTCTTTTTATATGGGCAGAGGGTGTAATCGTTCAGTTTATTGAAAAGAAAGTGCAGATGACCAATAAGACACATGCAAATAACTGTTGAACAGTTTTGGGGAAATTGAAACAAAATCCACTCTTGCCCATGCCTATTTGAATTAGTCTCTGCCTGCCTCCATTAACAGTTTGGTTATTTATTTGTTTCTTTATTTGTTCAACACAAATTTGGGCTCATAGTATGGTGCTCCCTACTCTCCTCTATGTGTGTAAGAAAAGGTTGGATAAATGCACATCAGCTTATTCATAAGAGCTTTTTCTGGGAGTTGGGGATTGGTAGGACGAAAGTTACTTATCCTTCTGTGCTGCTGTAATGTTTTATAAATACATGGATGACATACTTCTGTGTAGCTTTACCTGTTTTCTGCTTGACATATATTTAGGTGATTTATAATTTCTCACTGTTAAAACAACTCTGATAAACATACTTATCCATATCCTATAAACGTGCACCAAAGTTTTTCTAGGTCAAGAGTCTTTTTCTTCGAGGGCTGTATGGTAAGTAGTTTAGACTTTGTCAGCCATGTGGTCTATTGCAACTGCTCACGTCTGCCTTTGTAGCAAGAAAGCAACCATAGACAACAGTATATGAGCAAATGAGCATGACTGTGTTTCAGTAAAACATAATTCATAAACAGATGACTGGCAAGCCTTAACTTGCTGACCTCTGCTCTGGTACACATACCTGAAAGCATAATTGCTGGTCCTAAGGTAGCAGTGTTCTGAATAGTGTTTGCCAGATTGCACTCAAAATGATTTTATCAGTTTGCGTTCCTCCCAGGAGTATATGAGAATTCTGTTTCCTTTGACTGTTGTTTTCTTTTTTTCCTTCAGAAATTGTGAGTCAAACTTTATAATTAACAATCAGTGGGCATATGAAACATTATCTTGTCATTTAGTTTATACTTTCATGAGTACTACTGAAGCTGAAT